GAAAACATAACAGCTGACAAAGTAAAAGCGTCTTGCCAGTCTGACGCGCGAATGAAATATGTCTGTGGTTCGCAGGCTTCCGTTCGAGATAGACACGCGTGGTGTTCGATATTCGCAGGAAAACAGCAGATGTGTGAAAAGTGTCGAATGAGAATGGCTTCGTACGGTTTCAAGAAGGTCAAATGGAAAAAAATATAATATATAATATGCACCTGCCCTATTATTTATTTAAAAATTCACAGAGCACGATTTTTGTTTTTTAAATCGCCGAATTGGCGATATCTCTTTTTCCGAACCGCCGAATTCATAGAAGGATCACCTTGATCTAACGCGCAGAAACAATTTTGCAATTTACGAGGCCGCGACGCGCCTAATGAGATGCGATACGCGTGTTCGAGAACGAACACGTATTCGCCTTGATGGCAATTAGATAAGCAGGTGATTCGTGTACTCGTCCCGCGATAGGTTACGGGAAGTACGCGCTTGGGTTTCCGACTCGTTGATTCTCATGTGTCAACTCGACGCAAAAATCATCCTGTCGGCATATATATTTCTCGACGATCATGCAGAAATCCGGTTCTTACGGTAATCGAATCGGATGACAGGAGTAGGTAAATCGCGCAACGAGTTTTGCACATGCAGGTGCATCGATTACGCGTGTGCGTCTCTGGAAATAAATTATTTATGAAAGTTACTCCCAATGAAAACGAGTTATGTGACATGTGTTCTATATTACTCGTGTTTCTACTTTCGCTGCTGCAACCTGTATGTGTCAATGGAATAATTATTTTTCGTATACGATGATAATCTGACGACTGAGTTACAATATCGAGCGTTTTTTCTAATACGCGAAATATTATCTTGGCCTCTTTCATATACGTAACAAGTAAAGCTTGTATTTGATGCAATGTCGAAATGTATTTTTACAAATCGAAATACGATATCCAGTAAATATTGATCACTGGATTTATCTTTGTGAAATATTATCTCTTTTCCCAATAATCAACGAAATGAGCTCAAATTATAAACGTCAACATGAATCATCAACATCCATTCCGCCGTTAAAAACAAAGCTCCGGTTAAGGTGATATCAGTAACAGCTGGTCCATACGACGCCTATCCCGATCGTTAAGTCGACGTACCCTCGGAAATCTCCATCGCGATGGACGATAGCCCGCTCCTGTACAACCGGACACGCACATGCGAGGCCCGCAGGTGCGCGCGCGCGTACACACACGCAGATAACGATGTTCTTGAACGCAGATCGCGACGTAGATTTATCTGGCGCGAAGACCGCTGACGCTGTTCCCTCGCGCCACCGGCTCCTCCCCTTTGATAATCCTGAGAGGACCCCTCTTTCTCTCTCTTTCTTTCTCTCTCTCTCTCTCTCACTCACTCACTCACTCACTCACTGTCTGAATTCCGAATGTGGCGAGACACGGAGATGAAGAGAAAGAAGAGACAAAAAAGTTGCAGCATGATCATGGAGGAGAAAGAATGACGGGTACCAAAAATGTTCGAATTAGAATCTGGATAACATTGTACTAGTACATATGGAAAAAAATAATTTATAATAATTTGGTTGGTTGTATCAAAATTCTATTTCAAAATGAAATTCCGATTGAAACTATCAAATTTCTGTTTAATCAGAGCTCTGTCGAAATTAATAAAAAACAATTACATAAAGGCACAAAATATTAATTTCAAAAGAATTAAATTCTTTCATAAGGGTGTAAAGATCCGTATCGTTTTTTAGATTTTCCATTTTTTTTATTGCGATTCTTAATATTAATTTATTCGTCAACTCAGGAAAAAGATTTAGAAGCCGGGAAGTTTCCCGAACAAAAAAGTTTCCGGAATTATCGAATTTACATTATCTGCACAACGATGCTGAGAATTTATATATTTGCATCAGATCGTGCATAGACTGTTCTTCTTCGGGCATCGTCCTAGGGGTTCATGTATGTACATTCCAGGTGTTTGTACAGGCAGCAGGTAATCGAAGCCATACGATACGCCACAATTTTCTTTGGGAAAAACGAGAAGATTACGTAGTGTATAGAGTTGAGTAACCGGTTGTGGCAGAATCGTCTAACTGTTTAAAACATCGCGTTGATAGATCTGGTCAAATGTTTCTGAGAATTCATCTGCCATTTAACGATGTATTAATAGCCACATTCGTTCAATTAGAAATTTAATATCATCAGTAAAAATTTATTAGAAAATATTTGTCGTAAATTATGCGATTTTCAAGAAAAAGTTGTAGCACTGATCTTTTATATTATTATTTTTCACTAAAGAATGTATAATTATGTTCACGTTATTGCTATTTATATCGCGCCAGAGTTTTTGACATTAAGATAATTTATAATCGGCGTGTATTATTTGCCGTTTATGTCACATTCTTAATTGAACGTGCTACAAACTTGCGTAATCGTAAACTTTAATGAGGGAATTACGATCACATATTCGTTCCTTAGAGTGGGACGTATTTTCTAATAAAGCTGCAATTCTCCTCTCTCTCTCTCTCCTTTTCTCGAATCGAACCAAACTAATGATATAAATTAAACGTATTAAAATCGCGCCTGTCAATCATATTGAAAGATATCGGGCCTTTGTTTGCACGTCGACGTGATTTCGATCCGCGATCGAATCGCGGAGATCGCATCGACGCTTCACCGTGCTATTATCCGCACGAAGAATTAATGTTCGCACGGGGAATAAATTCCCCTTTACATGGCAAAATAATTCTCGTAAAACGCGCACGCCGCTATATTCATAATTTAATGGCCGTAATTTATACCGATAGCCGTATATCCCGAGCGGTGCTCGTGCCTAGGCAAAATATTACGTACGCTCGTACTTCTTGGTACGCTGTAGCGATATAAATGCTCTGCGAATGGGCGGTCTCGATCGCGGCACGTATAAGCAGGTAGGTCAGTTAGTCGGTGAAAATTGCTTCAACGCGAACCCGAAGATAGTTATCACAGCCCGTCTCTCTTTTGCGCACGCATAGACAATTCCGAAAGCGGTATGCCGCCATTACCATACACAGAATGCCACGCGATATAAGTGTATCTCGCAAATAATGTCTTAATCTCGGGAGCATTATTCGCCGCGAAGAGATATGGAGAGATAGGGAGGGCTATTGTCTTGATTGGAAACGTGGTTGTGCTTCATTAATATGAACATTACGCCGGATATAACACATTATACCATGATATAGCGTGCAGAATGAATATGGACGTTTGCTAATATTAAACTATTAAAGCTATTAAATACTATCTAATTTGGCTAGGGTTTATCTATTTTTTATAAAGTAAGTCATTAATGAAATTCTTGCTTATTTGATATTCAATTATATTCAACGTGTTGAAATTTATGTAGATTAGATAGATTAAATTGATAATTATGCATTATGCATTACTTTTTAAATCTATTAGAACTATTAGAATATAATTTGTTTAGCAATGTAAAAATGATGAAGTTCTTAATGGGAAAAAGTATTATAAATCTAAACTTCAAAAAAATTTACTTTATATTGTATAATGCACGCCATTATATTTCTGTATGTTTTATATCATCAAATTTTAAACAGGTAATAAAATAAAATCTCGTTTGTAGATAAAAAAATTGTATGCAAGTTGATCAAAATTCATCATCATGTGTTTCAAACTTGCACATACGTCACGGAGGCAAGTTGCAAAAGAACTAACGATAGAAATAAATGTCAAGTAGTGCTTAGCAATTCAGTCATTCGTCCAGCCAAAAGCGATAATCAGCGTAGCTCCGACCGGGCTCCGACCGTTAGAATGACGTTGTTTCACGCGGGTAACGATCCTCGAGATCTCATTTACGGTACAAATTAGTCGTAGGCCGGTCCTCCGGCCTTAATGGCCGGCCGGCACGCAAAGAAGTTAAGTTTAATGAAGACCGCGCGTTATCCGTGACGAACCGTGCGCGTTCGCGTTCGCAGCCGGTGTGCGAATGTGCGCGCGCCCATGCTCTCAGCGTACGCGCCGGCTGAATGCGACTTAAACGAAGATTTATGCCGCGACGCGTAAATATAAACAACAATGTGCAATCCCCGGGCGCATTGTCCCGCGTGGTAGACGTGCGAGAGTCAGCCAATGCGAACTAATAAGCTCGCCGTCCAACGCGCGAGGAGAACGCTCACGCGCGCACGCTCGGCGTCGTTTCTCCTTTCGCGTGCACGCGGAGCCACGCGTGTATGCACGCGGGTCTTTCTGACGATGGCGATTCAACACCGGCTACCGCGTCTCCCGAGACTAATCGACTGGAGTGCAACGAGCGACCAAATCCATCCTCGTCTCCGCAAGAAGGCCGTTTTTGCGCTTTGCCGGCGGAAATTTGTCTGTCGCTGCTTTAATACACCGGCTGTCAGCCGCGTCGGCGGCGATCCATCTCAGGATACTTTTGGCGAAGTAGACGAACTCGTTTCTCATGCTTCAATTCGTTGTTTTGCGATTTTTACAACGGCGTCTTCGGCACGGGAGAGACAATCGATAGCTCGACATTAAAATTCGACTAAATATCCTGCATAATTTCTTTCCTAAGTTGCTCTCACATATGAAGATCAGGTAAAATTAAATAAAATTTAATTCACGTTAATTAAAATTTATACGGAAATAAAGAAGAATTTTTTAGAAACTCTAATGACTCAAAAAGACAACACGATAACAAAAAATAAAGTAAAATATTCACGCTATTTAAAAATATTTGAATTATATTTTTGAGCGGAAGTGGAGCGGATGTTCGATGAGTTACTCATTTCTGTGAATTGCGCAAATTTAATACGTTGAATTCCGGGTAAGATACTACACTTGCGCTCATCATGTATCACAGAACATTATGGTGATCATGAATCATACCCAAAGGAATTGTGCAATTAATTTTCGCGACGGATGGGAGTGGCGGGAGAAACCTGGAAATCCCGTTTCCGCTTTTACAAACGGACGGATGCAAAGTGTAATACTCACGCTTATGTCCTCCATGCTGCAATTTCCGGCATGCATTAATCCGTGAGTGGCACAAATTTCCATGGACGTCATGCGCAAACGTAGACGAGAGGGTAATGCACACCAAACGCGTACTGTCACTCGTAGGAAACGCGCTGCAAGATTCGCGCGATATTTTTTCTCGGGTAAATCACACGCCGATCGATTTGACAACACCGAGATTTCCCTCTTCCGCGATCATCACTCGAAGAAACCGGCCAATTTCGCCGCGAAGACCACGTCGACTGCGCTTCGTTGTGACCACGTCGTTCTACGTCTCTGGAGCCTCATTGACTCACCAATGACACTCGCCCAGCGTCACACCACGTAGCTTCGCTACGTTGCTCTACGTTGGTATACAGCACAACAAGGGAACACGCACACGCGACGCTCACCGCAAAATCGCCGGCAGGGTCGTCGCCACCGCGACACGGCGACGACCGCGGCAGCCGGGGTGGTCCACGGAGCGTGACATCCTCCGTATCGGTCGTCGAAGTCTCCACACACGTCTTCGGCGGCAGCCGCAGGTAAATGACAATACGGCCACTGTATCGGGGGTCGGAATCACGAGTGCGACTCGTTCTCGAAAGTCGAATTGCGTTTTAAAAAATCAGCTTCAACCACTCGACTTCGTAGTTACCGTCTGCGAACCGTGAAACTAGAGTCACTTCGCTCGGAGCGATTTTACAAATAAGTCGTTTCACAGATTGTCGCCCGAGCGACAGCCGTAGATGACTGGCGTCACTCTGATTATCGAGCCGCACGAAAGCCACTGACTAAGAAAAAAAGGCCGGGACCACACACAGCCACCAAGAAGTGTTCCGGGATCGCTACGGACGTTCTTGGGGAATAAGCAATACGGGCGAGCGCACTGTAAGAGAGAGAGCCGAGCGCTCGCCAACTCGGGCTGAAACTCACTGAGTCGACCCTTCTGGTACTCGGCAGGTCTGGTACCCGGCGACGCGTCGTGGTGGGGGATCGTGTGGCAGACGGAGAGGGAGGAAAATAGAGAAGGGAGAGAAAGAGAAAGAGATAAAGCGAGAACGATGTGGTAGAGCGAGAAGCGAGGGCGAAGAAGGGTTGTGGGGCCCTAACCAATGTATACCCCCTCCAACCGGGCCCACTGGGTGCCCAGGGCTCCGACCATTATCTCTTCTTGGGCAGCTTCTCTGCCTTGTGCGAGAGGCTACGTGGAGCAAGAGCACGGGGAGAGGTTGGAGGGCTTTATTATATTTACGAGGCGTTATCGAAGCAATCCAACAATATTGATTCCGCGCCGCGGAGCGATCGACCATCTCAAAGAACGCCCAGCCACGGACCCTTCTATGTTCGCTACCGGAGGGCTCACGGCGCCCTTATTCTTTTCACTCGTGCGCTCTCGACTCCGAGACTTTTTATTTCGCTCGCCTTTCGCCTTTAATGCTTGCCGAATGCGATCGAATCGCCGCACGTTTTCCCCCGCGTGAATTACGCGCGGTGACCGTGAGCCCTCCATTGCTGCTGTTGCTTCTGTTATTCCGCTGCTGGAGGAATTAAGGTGGGGTGCTTCATAAATTCGACTAGTGATCTCGATCGGGATTGGGCCGGTTTAGGGACGGGCAAGGGTAATACATTAATTTCATTATGATTGTCATTTATAGTTAGTTCGCATGCAAGGTTGCAAAAGGAATGAAAAAGGGATAAGAATCGAGAGAGAGAGAGAGAGAGAGAGAGAGAGAAGAAAAGTAATTATTTATTTTTACTAAATTTACA